ACATCTCTTTGTACTTTTAACAGTGTCAAAAAAAAGGTGAGGCAAAAAGAGGACTTAAAAAATTATATTGAGAGAAGCTCTGCAGAGAAGGAATTGGAGGTATTGGTGGATGGAAAACTAAAACCCAGCAATATGCACTCGTAGCCCAGAAAGTCAACTGTACCCTGAGCTGCATCGAGAGAAGTGTGGCCAGCAGGTCACAGGAGGTGATTGTCCCCCTCTACTCCACTCGTGAGACCCCACCCGGAGTGCTGTGTCCAGCTCTGGGGCCCCCAGTGTAAGGACATGGACCTGCTTGAGTGGGTCCAGAGGAGGCCACAAAGACAGCCAGGGGGCTGGAGCCCCTCTCCTGAGGACAGGCTGAGTTGGGGTTGTTCAGCCTGGAGAAGAGAAGTCTCTAGGGAAACCTTATAGTGGCCTTCCTGGACTTAGAGAGTGCTACAGGAAAGGAGGGGAGGGACTCTTTATCAGAGGATATAGTGATAGGACAAAGGGTAATAGCTTTAAATTGAAAAAGGGTAGGTTTAGATTAGATGTAAGGAAGAAATTCTTTCCTGTGAGGGTGGTGAGGCACTGGCACAGGTTGCCCAGAGAAGCTGTGGCTGCCCCCTCCCTGGCAGGGTTCAAGGCCAGGTTGGACGGGGCTTTGAGCAACCTGGTCTGGTGGAAGGTGTCCCTGCCAATGTCAGGGGGTTGGAAGTGGATGATCTTTAAGGTCCCTTCTAACCCAAACCATTCTATGATTCTGTCATTCTAATGGACCACAGACACTTTTCATGACACTCTCTTTCCCATTGGTTGGTAATAGTTTGATAACTTTAAAGTAAGTGCAGGTATGTAAAGATTTAATTATTTAGACATACTTGCTTCTCAGTGAGAAGGACTGTTTTCATTAATTTTAGTTTTCCTATTTGCTAGCTACAGATTCTTTAGTAGCAAAATTAATGTTTGCATTGTCATGTATCCATCCCCCTGAGAAATTCATACTGCAATCAGGAATTACTTTTTCTGTTTATGTAGTGGAGAGAAGAAAGTGAGAGTGTGTGCAAGAGCTGTGCCAGAGCCAAATTTGGCATTAAACCTGAATTCCAAGTCTTAGCATTTAAAAGAGCAGACAGCGAAACACTCAAATTGCTTCAAACACACAATGTGAATTTACCTTTGAACTCTTCAAGATACAACATGTGTTCATACTGATTTTGAGTTGGATAATAAACAAATTTTTCTTTATTAGAACACCATGAGGAAATAAAACCAACAGAAATAACAAACCCTACCCACATGTCTTTACTGGACCATCCTTTGATTTCTTAGGTCCTTCTGCTCAGATCTTCCTGCCTTGTGAACCTCTGAGCTCCTCTCAGTGTTATGGATCAGCCGGCCCATTCAGCTTTTGCTGGTACCACTGGTAAGCAGTCATTTAGCATCCTCTTCTTGCCTGGGCTCCTGCTGGGTACCCCAAGGCCCTCATCCAGCTTCTGTGCTTGTAAAGGTCAGCAGTAACCCTGTAGATTACCTTATTTAATTAATACACCTTTTTAAAATTCCTGTCTTTGCAGACAGGTCAGAGAAATAAACGTCATGTATTTTCAAACCATCCATTTCTACCTGAATGAGCAGCCACTGATGTTTATGAATTAACCTTTCCAGCTGGTCTGCCACAGGCACACTGGTCCTTAGAACTGGTGGGTGCCCTAATGCCGCAGACCTCCCTCAGGTCACAGTGCAGGGGGGTGACCAGAAAAATGGAAAGCAGCTGCTTGGGAAAGGATTTATCGGTCAGAGGGAATAAATGATGGAACAGAAGTTTCCAGAAAGGACTAATGAGAAGCTTAGATACATAAGTGCAAAACTGAAATCAGAAAAACAGCGGTGATCTGGGCTCTGTATGAACCAATACTGAGAGAGACACTGCTGTGTTTGGTACTGTCCTGGTATCCCTTTTGCAAACTATCTTCAGAAACAGGAAAGAGCAGTTCCAGCTCTGGAAAAGATTTGAAAAGTTTGAGCCTTAGGGAGAGTGGGAGGTGTAAAGGATGCAGCCTATTTAGTTATCAGGAAAAAGTTTAAGATACAAATCAGTTTACAGTGCAATAAAATGAAGAGAGAGAAAAGTTCTAACAGACATATAACTAGATCCACTGCTTGGAAGCTGAAGGCATCATATCAGAAATAAACCCCAAGTTTTAGCAGACAAAGTAGTGAATTTAGAAAAAAAAAAAAAAAAAAAAAAACAAAAAAAAAAAAAAAACAAAACAAAAAAAAAAAAAAAAAACAAAAACAACAACAACAAAAAAAAAAAAAAACAACGACGAAAACCTACCAAACCCAAAGCAGCAGCATGTTGTCATCTCTTAATGTTTTCAAATCACAATTGCATGCCATAAAATGAAAGCTGATCATCTTCACACAGCCAGGCCTGACCAGGAGAGATATCTTTAAATCACCCTTGGCTGCCTGGTTGGTTTACTGGTAATACAGGTCTCACGTTCTCTAAGAGCTCAGGGATCAGTTCAACCATGGTAAAGCAGATGGCCTGAGCACTGCAGCTTCTCCAGCAGGAAACTCTTCCCATGTAGATCACTATTAGCAGAACTGCATCACAGTCCACAGCTGGGTAATTCCTAGAAACAGTCTATTTACTTTTAACAAAGATATTCTTAAATTGTGAAATGACTTGGAAGAAAAAGCAAAATGGAAAAAAGCTACCCATGTTATAGTAAAACAAAGAAATCCATACAGGTTCTTTTCCTCTAGAAAATAGACTGCATATTTTATTGCAGCATTTTCAAACTGATTATTTAAGTATTTTTATTTGTGAAACAACACTTGTTCCATTTTTCCTGGCTCTTTTAGTTGTTCTTTGGAGGGTGACACCCCCTTCCCAGCACCCCAGTCATGCAGAGGAACACTCTAGCCATATTTGCTTCTCGAGCAAATCCCAAAACAGTCTTTTTTTTCTTTCTTCTTCTTCTTTTTCCACTGGCTCTGCCAGAGCCAGAGAGAGTTCATTGCCCCGGCGTCCCTGAAGCTAACCCCCGAGTGCCCGGGCTGCAGGGGCAGCTCCAGGGTGCTCTGCAGCCCCGGGGCCCCCCGGCTCTTTTCAGAGGGGGGTGGCGAGGGCCCACCCCTGCCCGAGGGATTTTGATGGAGCTGGATGCCGGCTCCTCTTGGCGGGTCGGGGTTCCTGCTGCCCCCCCCCGTGCCCTGCGGGGGGCCAGCGGGCTGGGCTGGGATGGGATGGGATGGGCTGGGATGGGATGGGATGGGATGGGATGGGATGGGATGGGATGGGATGGGATGGGATGGACTGGGATGGGATGGGATGGACTGGGATGGGATGGGATGGGATGGACTGGGATGGGATGGGCTCTGCCACCCGCTGCCCGGCGGTCAAAGCAAAGCGGGTCCCAGTTGTGAGGCCGCTGGACAACTCCTGGCCCAGGTGGCAACCGAGCCCACGGCCACGGTAGTCCCCGCGGACGGCCCCTCTCCCTGCGCTCGATAAAAGCAGAGGGTTTAAGCAGAAGAACCACCTGCGAAACTGGAAAGCCAATTTTACCTTGCACAGGTTGGTATCAGGGCTGGCGAAAGCTCTTGGCTGGCCTGCAGGATGCTTTATCCGCTGACAAGCCAGACCTGTAGTTTATGTCTTTTTTTTTTTTTTTTTTTTTTTTCCCTTTTAATAGATATTGCTTAATACCGGCCATCTCCAGCTTTCGAGGTAGCTACAAAAGGTCAGATCTGACGCATCTTCCGCCCCCTCTCCTCCCAATCAGCCTGTTTGCAAATAATTAATAACGACACAATTAGGCGGTATGATGGGACCCGCATTTATAGTCTTCCTGATGGTAACGCAGATTAAAAATAATGCTGCCGAGCTCATCTCCTTTTGATGACCCAGTCCAGATTCTGCTATGTGAGCCTTCAATCTTTGTCAGAAAAAAAACCCGAGCCCTCCCCCCAAATAGAGCCCTGACAAGAAGTCAGAAGAGCTACGGTGCTATATTTGCTTTTGGTTTTTATTATCAACAATCAATTAATGGTACACTCTTGGAAAACTATATGCACATGTAGAAATATTTCCCCTTTTAAATAGAAGCATTCATTTTAACCACATATAAATAAATCTGAAAATCCTGAACATAATTTATGACGATTATGCTCACAAACATATTCCAACAGGTAGGGAAAATAAAAAATAATGAGACGACATGCAACCGATAACAAAAATATATATCATTGCCTGAACCTGGTCTCTCTAAACGTAAAGGGAACCGAACCCGTGAGAACCTTATTTCTCCATAAAGACACGCCATAGAGACTACGAGAAGGGAAAACATTATTTATACGGTCAACTAGACAAGTCTGTACTGATATTAACACTATACAGTTGAGTCACAGAACACAGTTGTAGAAAGACACGGAAAAAGAGAAAGCATACCTGTCAACATTCAACTAAGAGCTATAGTTTGTGCCTTTTAAAATAAAATTAGAAAACCCTAACGGAGGTGCCTAAAAACTGCGTGAATCGTGTAATAATAATTAATAATAATTAATAATTAATAATAAATACAAGCCGTCCGCCGTGAGGGGCGCGGGCCGTGCAGGGGCCGGATCCGCAGCGCGGAGCGGGCCGGGGCCGAGCCCGGGGGGGCGGCGGCGGCGGCAGCGGCGAGACCCGAGACCCAACGGAGGGACAGTGACACGGGACGGCGGAGTGAGAAACGGCCCCGGGCGCGGGGCCGGGGGGCGGCGGGGGGGGGGGCGGCGGGGGATGGAAAACACACTTTGTCGCTGCTCGGGCCGACCGTGAGAAGGAGCTTCCAAAAAAAAAAAAACAAACAAAAAAAAAAAAGCCCCAGAGGCGGGCAGGGCGCCCTCCCTCGCCGCCGGGCCGCCCGCCGGCACCGTCTGTCTCCGCGGGCCGCCGCCGCCGCCTCCGCGCCCGCGCAGCGCACACCCCCCCCCCCCCACCCCCTGCCCCCGCCCCGGCGGA